CATCGAGAATATGCGTCTATTACCACTAACCACATGTATCCGTCAAAAGGTCCTTTGAAATCAATATGTAATCTTTCCCAAGCATTTTCAGGTATATTCCATGAATTGAGTGGCGTTTCGACATCATTCTTCCTGAATGTTTGGCATCTTGTACAAGTTTTCACTAAGTTTTCAATGTCATCGTCTATTTTTGGCCAGTAAACATACAACTTCGCCAAAGAGCGCATGGCAACTATTCCTGGGTGTGAAACGTGGAGGTAACTAAGAATGTCTCCCCTAAGTGACTTAGGAATCACTATTCTTTCTTGCCACAATAAAATCCCCTCTTCATAAGATAGTTCGTGTCTCTTGTCATAGAATATCTTCAAATTGTCCGGAATTGAACTTCGATCGGGCCATCCCCTGACACAATAGGATATAATGTGTTTCAGTTCATCATCTCTGTGAGTGTTATCTTGAAGCGTTCGTTTGGTAAGTGGCAAATCTTCAATTCTCATAGATCTAACTTGGTTTACTTCACCAAGCGTCTGATACGTATCAATGTTTGTTCCTCCTTCTAAAGGTAATCTACTCAGACAATCTGCCAGAACATTATCTTTTCCAGCCCTGTAGTTTATATCGTAGTCGTATCCACTGAGTATAATAGCCCATCTTGCAAGTCTGGAAGCGGCATGGCATGTTTAGGTATAGGCTGCTTTGCCCCAAAAATTCGTTCGAGTGGTTTATGATCACACAAAAGAGTGAAATGCCTACCATAGAGATATTTGTAGAATTTCTCAACACCAAAGATAATGGCCAGTGCCTCCTTATCTATAGAAGAATAGTTCTGTTCTGCTGAATTTAATGTCCTTGAAGCGGCTGCAATTGGTTTCTGACTGCCATCAGAACAACGATGAAGGAGAACTGCTCCTAATCCAATATTGCAAGCATCTGTTGCAAGGATAAGTGGAAGTTTAGGATCATAATGTACAAGTACCATATTGTTTGAGATGTTGCTCTTAATATGGTTGAATGCGTCCTCACAGTCACTATTCCAGGCCCAAGTTGAGTTCTTGTGCAAAAGTCTATGTAAAGGAAAACAAAGAGATTGCAAATTTGGAATAAATCTTGAATAGTAATTCACAGATCCAAGAAATGATCTAAGCTCAGAAACGTTCTTTGGTGGGGGTTGTTTCTTGATAGCTTCTACACGATCTTCAACAGGCTGAATACCAAGAGCACTAATTTTGTGCCCAAGATAAGTCATACTTTGTTTGAAAAGCTGTAGTTTATCTTCACGCGTGCATAGTCCTGCTCTTCTCAATATATTTAAAACTGTTTTGAGCCTATCAATGTGTTCTGGTCCACTTCTACCGCCCACACATATGTCGTCAAAATACCACGCACAATCATCGGTACCAACTAATAATTGGTCCATCAGCTTTTGAAAAATCTTAGGTGCAGTCTTAATACCAAAAGGTAATCTATTGAAGGTAAAATATCCTTTATGTGTCGCTACCACTAGATATTGTTTTGATTCTTCGTCCACTGGAATCTGTAGATACGCATCCTTCAAATCAATAACTGAAAAGAATTTTGAACCATTCAACTTAAGTACTGTTTCTTCAAACGTAGGGATGCAGTATTCGTCATCGATTAAATGAGGGTTGATTGATACCTTGAAATCTGCACATAATCGTACCTCACCATTAGACTTTGGTACAACAACTAAAGGAGAAGCACAAAGGATCGGAGTAGTAGCTGGATCCACAGGTTCTAAGACCCCTGAGGACACTAAACGATCTAGTTCCTTGCTAGTTGCACTGTGTAATGCGAACGGAACAGGTCTCGGTTTGTGTATTGGCAATTGTACATCATTAGCTACTCTAACCTTAGCTTTGAAGTTTTTCACTGTTCCTAGGTTATTGGTAATTATGTCTTTGAACTCTCTATATATCTTACTTTCTCCCCCTCTTTGTCTATAATGTCCGTGTTAATATGATTGACGCTATAAGAATTTTGCTTACATACATGTTCACAGTTAGGATCTAGATTAAATGCTGCAATCCAATCTTTACCAAGCAAAGGTGTACCTGAAACACTGTCAGTGACAGCAACACTTAATTGCAAAGTAGTTGATCCTAACGAAACCGCGACCTTAGTCTCGCCGAGCATAGGTATTCTAAATGACGGATAAGCACCCAGCTCCTCCGTAGGAGTCAGTGCCGGTTCACCAATTTGTTTCCACGTAGATTTACTAATTATAGTTCTTGCAGCAGCAGTGTCATATTCCATCGTTATTGGAACCCTATTTATTGTTAAATTAACAACGTAACAAAATTTCTCAACATTATTAATTTGACTTATGTTTTTTACCGAACCAGCTTCTAGTTCATCAGATATGTCAGGACATCCGTCATTATTATGTCGGGAAAAGTCTACATTGTAACTATAATCACTCATACCAGCAAACTTATCAATTTGTTTGACATAACGTCTTGAAAGATTTTTCTCAATGACGACATTTTTGGATTTCAGACAAACTCTTTCAAAATGCCCCATTTTCCCACAAGCTCTACATTGAATATTCATTGCCTTGCAATGCTCACCTGTTTTATGTTTTGCTAAACCACACCTCAAACACTGTGACTCAGGATTCAAGCTGATTCTAGTACTGTCCCTTTTGTATAAAGGTTTAGTAGTTCGTGTAGCCCCTACCTTATTTACCTGTGCGTCACATGAAAATGTCCCAAGTGTTTCTATTTGTTGTTGTTGAGAATGTGCCATTTCCATGAGGTAGGCGTCTTTAACGATGTCGACAAGTCTTGCTTTTTCCTCAGGATGTTTTCTGATGAGCTCTTCTTGCAGTTTAGGATCATTTAAACCCAATAAGAACTGGTCTCGCAGTCTTTCGTCAAGTGTATCTTTAAACTCACATTCCGTCGCACCAGCTCTCAAATTGTTTACAAATATGCGTATTGATTGATCTTTGTTCTTCAAGATTTTTCCAAATTTGAGTCTTTCGGCCAAATAGGATGTTTTTGGTTTATAGAAATTTGAAATGAACTCAACAATTTCCTCGTAATCTACTGTTAAAATAGGTGTTGGATAAAAGTTATCAACCACAATTCTATAATGTTCAGCACCAATCCATTTCAGAAGTAAAATTCTCTTAGCTTCTTGATTGTGTTGTAACCCACAAACAATTAATTCCAACTCAAACCTTTGGTAGTAGTACTTCCATGTTTCTTTGGTAGCATCAAACTTCTCGAACTTGAAATGAGTTAAACTATGTGTAGTAGGTTGTTCCACTGTTAGTGTAGATGATGTGTCGTCATTGTCATATTCCTCATGTCCGTGCAGCGCCATTATGTAACGTTATTACATTTAAATAGAATAAAATATATGAATGAAGAATCTTTTATTGTCAAACATTTATAACAAAAGTAACAAGTAAACAAACATTGTTTTTATGAAAACATCTGATTAAATTAAATTAAAGAACAGTATTTCAGCATACATAACAGAGGCGAAGCAATTTGCTACTGCCTTCAAATGCATGCAAGGCTGCCTGGAACTACATCAATAGGCATAAACCCCCTATTACTGTTCCTGCTAAAGACTTTTGCACTGCTGATGAGTTTAATTCATTTTTTCTTGATTCTGTTGATGAATTAATCCTCTCTTGTAAACCTGGTCCATCTGTTCCTTATGATTGCCTTAATTTTGTTCCATTTGTTCCCACTAATTTTTAATGGACACCTGTTACTGTTGATATGCTGCTTAGAGTAGCCAGTAGCTTTAAATCCTCTTCTGTTGAGCTTTTAAAAAGACTAGATAACCCGTTGCTCGAAATCGAGCAAAACTGAAACTTGTATTAAAAGAATAAACAAAAAACAAACAGCAAGACCTTAATCAAAGAGTCACTCTAAAATAATTTATATGACGGATAATAGAATATAAAAAATATTATGATGTAAAAAATATAAAAGTAATCTACAATACTGTATTTAAATTCACATTCATTCTCATGCTGCTTTGGTTATCTCTTATGTATAGTAGGCGGGTGCACTCTATGAGCACATAGATTTAATGCAAACCCTAACGTAATTTTAATAGCGGTTGTACACTTTTGTTTAGATTTAAAAGGACTATGACAAAATGTGTACCGTAGGGTTTTTTTCAATGAATGTTTATTTTATTTTATGGAAAATCACAAAATGTTCAATAACTTTTCAACCGTAATTTGTATAGCAAGGGGAGTAGTACCATTTGCCTAAGATTGGAATTGAATGACTAATTATACATTATATTTTTATAATTATATTTTTTTTATTTTTTTTTGCTTATGTTGAGTTCATTTGTAAGCAGAAACTCGTTGAAAAGTAGGACAGCGTAAAAACAACCATTTCCCACTTCGTTAGACCATATTCAAACTTGTTCATGGTTGCTTCTATTTTGTCTTGTAAATAGAATTTGTGGACATCTTTCCTTGCAAACTTAAAGATTGTTGAAGCTATACTAAATACATAACTTAAATAAGCAAGCTGTTTTAGCCAGTTTTCATTGCATAACATTTCAGAAAATATGATAACAACTTTGTACCGGGTTCTTTTTCCAGCAAAAACAATCCTACTTCATACCAAAGCTCAAATAGTTGTGTTAACACATTTCCTCTTGCCCTTGAATGCCAGCTTACTTTACAATGAAGCAGAAGTGCTTTGTGTCCGCAAAAACAATGTCTTCCACATCACAAGCTATATGTCCAACGTAGATCAAAAGTAATAATACTAAATTATTTTGTTGACGTTGTAGATAAATTAGGACAAGTATTGTTGTCAAGAGTTATTCTAATTTTATTCACGTTGCAGCTGAGAAAACACTACTAAATGTTCAGTGTTGGGGACCTGCTCTTGCAACCCTCCTGGATGGCACCTGCGACCCATAGTTTGGGAACCGCTGGTCTAAAGGAATGGCCCTTGGAAGGAAACATGTTTGTTGCGGTTTGAAAAAAAATCAAATTTAAAATAAATATTTATTTAAACTCACAACCAATATAAAAAACCCAAACTCTGCACCAACATATAATTAACAAATTGGAATGATGAATCAGTCGTCTTTTGTAACATTAGGCTCCAGAATGATTTACTTCTTCTGAATAAGGTCTTGCAGCAACTTCTCCAGTTTGCGAGAATCTTCAGCAAACTTTCGGATGCCGTCGGAGAGTTTGTCAGTTGCCATCTGGTCTTCATTCAGTTGCCAGCGGAATGCAGCCTCATTGAGCGTGATTTTTTCTTGGTCAGACTTCTTAGCTGAAAAAAATAAATTGAATTATAATAAAAGATAGGTTGAAATAAACACCAATCTCATCTCTATAAACACATTTACTACCAACTACCCAAACTCACTTGTGTATAAGAGGGTGATGGCTCATAAGAAATGTGTTCAACACATTCACTACATACTATCCACAGCATACATACAGAGGAGGGTGGTGGCTGGTAGGAAATGTGTTAATACATTCACTACATAGCCTACTATCCACAGCGTTTATATACAGAGGAGGGTGGTGGCTGGTAGGAAATGTGTTAATACATTCACTACATAGCCTACTATCCACAGCGTTTATATACAGAGGAGGGTGGTGGCTGGTAGGAAACGTGTTAATACATTCACTACATAGCCTACTATCCACAGTGTTTATATACAGAGGAGGGTGGTGGCTGGTAGGAAATGTGTTAATACATTCACTACATAGCCTACTATCCACAGCGTTTATATACAGAGGAGGGTGGTGGCTGGTAGGAAACGTGTTAATACATTCACTACATAGCCTACTATCCACAGCGTTTATATACAAAGGAGGGTGGTGGCTGGTAGGAAATGTGTTAATACATTCACTACATAGCCTACTATCCACAGTGTTTATATACAGAGGAGGGTGGTGGCTGGTAGGAAATGTGTTAATACATTCACTACATAGCCTACTATCCACAGTGTTTATATACAGAGGAGGGTGGTGGCTGGTAGGAAATGTGTTAATACATTCACTACATAGCCTACTATCCACAGTGTTTATATACAGAGGAGGGTGGTGGCTGGTAGGAAATGTGTTAATACATTCACTACATAGCCTACTATCCACAGCGTTTATATACAGAGGAGGGTGGTGGCTGGTAGGAAACGTGTTAATACATTCACTACATAGCCTACTATCCACAGCGTTTATATACAGAGGAGGGTGGTGGCTGGTAGGAAATGTGTTAATACATTCACTACATAGCCTACTATCCACAGCGTTTATATACAGAGGAGGGTGGTGGCTGGTAGGAAACGTGTTAATACATTCACTACATAGCCTACTATCCACAGTGTTTATATACAAAGGAGGGTGGTGGCTGGTAGGAAACGTGTTAATACATTCACTACATAGCCTACTATCCACAGTGTTTATATACAGAGGAGGGTGGTGGATGCTAGGAAATGTGTTAATATATTCACTGCATAGCCTACTATCCACAGCGTTTATATACAGAGGAGGGTGGTGGCTGGTAGGAAATGTGTTAATACATTCACTACATAGCCTACTATCCACAGTGTTTATATACAAAGGAGGGTGGTGGCTGGTAGGAAACGTGTTAATACATTCACTACATACCCTACTATCCACAGCGTTTATATACAGAGGAGGGTGGTGGATGCTAGGAAATGTGTTAATATATTCACTGCATAGCCTACTATCCACAGCGTTTATATACAGAGGAGGGTGGTGGCTGGTAGGAAATGTGTTAATACATTCACTACATAGCCTACTATCCACAGTGTTTATATACAGAGGAGGGTGGTGGCTGGTAGGAATGCAACAGTTCATAAAATTTTGTATAATTAAATAATATATAAATAGCCTATTACCAGTCAATTAAGCCCAAAAACCTATTTAAAATATACTATGTTTAAAATCTATTTCAAACACAAGCTAAAGTAAAAATAATTATATATATATCCAAACATAATCTCAAAAAGTAATTTACCCAAATTAAATTTCATATACTATAAATTGGCCTAAGTGACTAAAAAGTAACAGTGAACATCAAGATCTAGAAGACCTGAATACATTGTTGCTGAAAAACATGTGTTAGGTAACAACTGGATTTTCTTCTTCTACCATGAACTAGCTGGTGAAAGTTTAAAAAACTAGTTTGTATGATTTTTTATATTATAATATTTTCTAGTAAAAAAGTGAAAAGCTAAACCAAAACAGTCTCATCATTTCAAATAGTTTAAACAAGAAGAAATGTGGAAACTTGGAAGAAACTTGGTAATCTCCATCTTATTATTACAGACAATTCTATTTAGGTGTTGGACAATTTGAGAACATTAGCCTAATTCTGAGGTGGATCGAGTAGCCTCCTAGCTGTTAAAATTTATATTCTTGATTCAAGTAAAAACTTTTGTTTTAGAACAACCTTATCCAAATTCTATATAAAATTATTTAGTAAAAAAAAGAAATCAAAGGCTAACTTTATTATCATAAAAAAAAGTTTCAAATTAAAATAGGCTATTAGCAAGGAAATTGGTAATAAAAGAGAGTTCCAAGCACGAACCTAAAAACCCTGAGGTTGCAGGAAATGTGTTAATACATTCACTACATAGCCTACTATCCACAGCGTTTATATACAGAGGAGGGTGGTGGCTGGTAGGAAACGTGTTAATACATTCACTACATAGCCTACTATCCACAGTGTTTATATACAAAGGAGGGTGGTGGATGCTAGGAAATGTGTTAATATATTCACTACATAGCCTACTATCCACAGTGTTTATATACAAAGGAGGGTGGTGGATGCTAGGAAATGTGTTAATACATTCACTACATAGCCTACTATCCACAGTGTTTATATACAAAGGAGGGTGGTGGCTGGTAGGAAACGTGTTAATACATTCACTACATAGCCTACTATCCACAGTGTTTATATACAAAGGAGGGTGGTGGATGCTAGGAAATGTGTTAATACATTCACTACATAGCCTACTATCCACAGTGTTTATATACAAAGGAGGGTGGTGGATGCTAGGAAATGTGTTAATACATTCACTACATAGCCTACTATCCACAGTGTTTATATACAAAGGAGGGTGGTGGCTGGTAGGAAACGTGTTAATACATTCACTACATAGCCTACTATCCACAGTGTTTATATACAGAGGAGGGTGGTGGATGCTAGGAAATGTGTTAATATATTCACTGCATAGCCTACTATCCACAGCGTTTATATACAGAGGAGGGTGGTGGCTGGTAGGAAACGTGTTAATACATTCACTACATAGCCTACTATCCACAGCATGTAATACAGAGGAGGGTGATGGCTCATAAGAAATGTGTTCAACACATTCACTACATACTATCTACAGCATACATAGTACATAGTGTTAGTACATTCACTACATAGCCTACTATCCACAGAATGTATATACAGAGGAGGGTGGTGGCTGGTAGGAAATGTGTTAGTACATTCACTACATAGCCTACTATCCACAGAATGTATATACAGAGGAGGGTGGTGGCTGGTAGGAAATGTGTTAATATATTCACTGCATACTATCCACAGTCAGTAAAATAGAATGCCGCAAACCCGAACTCAAATGGACAACCGAGTAAAAAATTATGTGCATATCAACCTAAGTGTACCTTACAGATTTTCTTCCTACTCCTAGCAGGCCGAACTTCATTGCAAATTCCAGAAATCTTTAAATGGCTGCCGTTTTTGTCTCGGTATTCTGGTTTTTTGGCATTTAATCTCATTAATTTGATATAAATATCAACACATGCTTGCATTTAAGATTTTACTATGACTCAGACATTTTAGTGTAAATCCAATCAGGCTAACGAAAATTCGCTTAGTCTGCAGGTTTGCTGCGGCGGGGGTATTATTTTTTCCTCCCAGTACAGTAGAACTCCTATTATCCAAAAGAATAGAGACCGAGATACATTCGGATTTACAAAAATTCAGATGTTTGACTTTTACTGAACCACAGGGGTATTTTATAGAAAATGGGCCGAGTGAAGCTGAGCTTTTACTATCGCGATCGCAGAACGCATATAAGAGGATATTTAATTGCAAAATTTGCATGCTTTTGCCGAGATTGCGAAGGCGATGATAATATTCTTTGGCTGCGAGTGACAACGATGATAACTACAAGTCTGCGAAGATGTTCTAAATTTTGCTGTATTGATCCGTATCCAAACCGAGCCCAAATTTGATATCCGACACTGTCCGTTGTATATCCAACTTTTTCGGATAGACAATATATTTTGACGTTTTGGACAGAAAACTAAATCTCCATAACCATCATTCGTTTCCCAGGACAAAATTACAGCAATACGTTTCCAACGACCTAACAGCAAACGGCAAAGAAGCCGTATAACGCAATAGCGATAACTAGTTTAGTCGTTATCGGCTGTTTTGCTTTACAATTAGATTCACCTGGAACGAACAGACATAAAGCAGAAAAGAACTACCATGGTCAAATGAAAGTCAACTCGTGCTAGTCTCGCTCCTGACACTAGGGGCGCTGCGTAATAGTTTTTTTACAGTACTGTTTCAAAGTAGAAAAATCTAGCCTACTATTGTGATGTTACGTAAACAATAGATTTAATGTTTCCCAAAAAAAGTCAGAATAGAAACAATAGAAGGGTGGGAGGGGTTGGGCAATGACCTCGAAAGGAGCGCGGGTAGTGAGTCAAGTAGGACCGGAGGGGGAAGGGATGGGTAAGACCTTGAAGCTATATATAGACTTGCACTACTTCCCTAAACCTAAAGGACTGGCCAGCGAGTGGTATTACAATCACAGGACAAGATACGTTGTTTTTTGGGTATTCATTGCCCGGTTTGACTTTGGATTGTCTTATTTTGTTGAAACTTTGAATAATAAAAAAAAAAAGTCAGAACTAACCACGATTATTTAGCATTGATTGTGTACATATTAAATGATTAAACGATAGGGACCATGGATATATACAAACTTTTGTCGTGATTTAAATTTCAACATCAAAATACAATATTGCACAATCGTGATATTTTAGGTCATTGACCTTTATTATGCATCCGGTATTGCTGTTTCAGAAGAGAAGCACGTTGATAAATTATAAATTGATATTCCCGTAGTTAAAAAGAATTATTTTATAAACCTATAAAACAAAATCATAAAATCTTACATAAAGATAACAATAACAGAAATTATAAAAAGGGTATAAAGATAACAACGTCATTATTCTTTCTCTTTGTTCTTCTATTTCTTGGGTTTCCCTTCA